TAGTTAGAGGGTACCATGAATACAGTAAAGTACAGGGAGATCCTAGAGGACAACCTGATGCAGTCTGCAACAGAACTGTGACTTCAGAGGTTTGTCTTCCAGAAGGACAACGAGCCGAAGCAAACAGTCAAAGCTACACAGAGATGGTTTAAAGACCACAGGGTGACTGTTCTGGAGTGGTTGAGTCTTTGTATTCGATTTGAGCCACATTAAATTGACCCTATTCAAAGTTTAAAAGCAATAAAAGACGAATACAGACGCTGCATAAGGCCTCACCTGGTCGTTGTCGTCGGTCTGGCCCAGGTCTCTGCCGCTGGCCTGAGCGATCCTCTTCCCCGACACCAGATTACCCACCATCACAGAGGCGGGTCCGATCTCTGCAGCGCAAACACAGTCATCAGCAACCGCACACAGTAGCGACGCACAAAACCAGAACCGCCAACGGACTGCTCCCCACCTGGCTGTTTCTGCCGGGGCTTGGGCAGGTTGGTGACGCAGGTGTGGGGGCACATGAGGACGTTGCAGGGGTGCAGCCCGCCCTCCAGGTACAGCTGCTTGATCTCGGACAGGTGGATGCCGCCCAGAGGAGTCTTGGGGAGGGTGTTGGCCGGAACCAGAGCCAGGCAGAAGACGCCCACCCCGTGGATGCTGTCTATGGCCTGATGGGGGACAGTCGGACAGGTTAGCTGCTGATGGATTTCGTTCATCTACACGTGTGATTTGTTCTTGTTTAGCAGCAAAACCAGACAGAAGATTCATCTTCACAGCACGAGGAGTGACTGTTGGAACATTTGTCAAGCATTTGTACTGTAGTTGTACTGTTGGACTTTGTACTGCAGTGAAAACTGAACCCACAGTGAGGAAAGTACAAACGAAACAAAACCAAACCAGGTGGAAGCCAGACAACAGAGAGAGAACGACTGACTGGTGCTACCTTATATACCAGTGCATCTTAAAAACTGAAAATATCTCTATAAGGTCAACTTTTGTCATAATTTAACTCCAAAAGATAAAGTTTCATGTATTATATAGTCATTAAAGTGTAATATGTCAAGCCTTTTTAGGTTTTATTTGTGATAATTACATTTTATAGCTCATGAAAATCAGAAATCCAGGATCTCAAATTATTAGAATATTTCCTAAAATCAATAAAAAAAAAAGGAGAGACTTACAATACAGCAACCTCTAAAAAGTACAGGTAAATAGAATCACAATCAGCCTTAAATTTGACTCTCATAATTTCTCGTTCTGAGGCAGCAAGTAATAAAAATGTTGCAGTAAATGTTGGACTATGGAGAGATTTTGTTACCGGACACACGAAACAAACGGCAGAAGACAATGAAAGCTGGTTTAACATGTGACTTATGATGCAGAACAAGGTTGTGAAGAAGGAGGAGCACCTGCAGGACGCGGCTCATCCACTGGAAGCTGTCCTCCTCCGTGGAGTCGGGCCTCTGCTCGGCCACCACCACGATCCTCTCGTCCCTCAGCACCGTCACCGAGAACACCGCTATCCTGTAGCCACGGCGACACAAACCTCGTCAGCCACACCTCAGAACATCTGATGCTACATGCAACACTTTGAGCTTCATCAGAGGAGCAGGATCCAACAACAGGTCGCTGTTTCTCCACAGATGTTTTCAGCGTGTTTGGTGCTGATGGAGTCCAAGTGGAGCTGATTTATCGTGAGCTTCAGGAACATACGGAGGAACTCAAACACCCAAAATCGAGGCCATGAGAGCAAGACTACACTTGAAACCACGCAACAGCTGCTTGATGTTATCGAAGCACTTCATCAGCAAACAGATGGAAGTTCAGAAAGTGGAACGAGAAGAATCAGAAACAACCACAGACACACAAAAACAATAAAATAACCCAGTCTAACTTTTATATCTTCAGAGGATTTTGTGAGCTCACAGTTTCTGCAGCTGCTTATGTGAATAAAACCTTCTTTTTTGTCCATTTTTATTTTTGTTTTCGCTGTTTTTTCTTTTTTGGCTGTTTTTTTTAATGTAGCTATGTATAAAAGCTTTTTTTTTAAGGGTAAATCCTACATTTTAGGAGGATTTTTTGCAGGTGGTCTAATAAACTGGTAAACAGTGAAAATACAGTAAAAAAAAAAAGTGTGTGTAAATCCTGTATTTTACTTATTAGGAGGACTTTATGTTCTCAGCTGCTTCCTCCTCCCGTAGAAACTTTAACAAATGGCTCCTGATAATAATCTATTTATAATATCAGTTATTCTCTTGTGTATTTTTCTTGTTTCCCCTCCTTGTTCCATCCTGCTTCAGCACTTTAACACCACATCTGTGTGTAAAGTCTGCACATGAGCAGTAAAGATGATGTGATGGTAGAAACAACAACAAGCTGTTCAGACTGTGAGCTGCTTCCTCCTCAGATAGAAGCTTTAAACAGCTGCTGTCAGCTCACACACGGATCTCCTCCTCGCCGGCCACAGACATGATTTCACTTCACTCTGGACTTTATTGGATTTATCGCTCACCTGCCCCGGTACACGAACTTCATGGGCTCCACCGCCAGCGCCGTGGCCACGATGTCGTCGGCGTTGTGCCGGCGGCCGCTCACCATGATCAGCCCGTCCATCTTGCCGGTGATGAAGACGAGGCCGCCGGGGCCGATGAAGCCCAGCAGGCCGGTGCGGACGAAGGCGTACTCGCTGATCAGGCCGCCGCCGGAGCTCACCGGGTAAACCTGCAGGGGCAAAACGCACCGTGTTCAGCTGAGTGGTCGCCACGGCAACCGGCCAGGACCTGAGCTAAATATATCAGAAGTCTCAGTTCTTAAAAAAAAAATAACTTTCATACTGATAATGTCACAGTGCTGCAGAGGACTTTACTGCTGGTTCTATGTTCTCCTGGAAGCAGCACAAATATATTAGAATAATGTCACTAAATAATTAAGAAAATATACAAAAAAAAACAGGAAAAAAGTTTCTCTAACCCCAAAAGATCTGGTTTGAATTCAGATATTTTCTTTTCAACGAACAAAATGTGATTTCTTCCTCTACAAGTGAGAAAAACAAACTCTTGAATATTATTATTATTATTGTTATTATATCATCATCATCATCCTTATATATAACAACATAAATAATAATCATAATAGCAAGAATAATGATAATAATGATAATAATAATAATAATAATAATAATAATGACTCAATTTGTGCAACGCCTTTTAAAAACAAAAGTACAAAATGCTTTTATTCTGAAAAGTCAGCTTTAAAAAAAAAATCAACATGGCTCAGTTTCCAATTTTATTTATTTTTTTCTGAAAACAGAATTTGTCATCTTTTCTCTGATATGATACCAGCGTCTGATGACTGGTAAGAAACCAACATCTCGTGTGTTCAGGATTTAATAAACGCCTCTGCAGCAAATAAAGTAAAAATGTGTTCTAACAAATCGTCTGATCATCTAAAAATTTGACTTCTACAGAGAAATGTGAGGCTTCGGGTGGTACATCTGGGTTTCTCTTCACAATAAAAAAAATATCAAGTAAGAAAAACAATAAAAACAACTCAAACAAGTAAATAAAATCCTAAAATGTCATATTTTTTGTGAGTTAAAAGTGTTTTATGGTGAAAAAGATCATGATCGGTGGTGGGAAAGCAAACCAGTTGAAATACTGGTGTTTTAATAAGACTGTTATTCATGGTGCAGTTTTATCTGAATAAATAAAAATAAACCAAAGAAATGAATCCAGGAAACTGCACACATTTAATAGATGGATGTTTTGCCTCGACAGATTATAAACTAAGAAATCTCTCATGTAAAGTTGGTAATATTTAGGGCTGCAGGTCAGAAATGACTGATCGCAGCGTTTAAAGCGAGAACTTGATTAACTTGATCGATTCTAGTTGGTTCTACGTTCAGGACTGGGCTCACCTCGAAGGTGTTCTTGGTCATCCCCGTCAGGCCGTAGTAGGACGTCCCGGTGGCGATGGAGCAGACGCAGAGTTCTCCGATCTCGTCGGTCTGACAGAGCTGAGGGACGCCTTCAGGCTTCACCACACAGACCAGGCCTGGAGGGAGCAGTCACAGAGGAAACGTTTAATAAACGTACGTCTTTGATCTCAACAGCAGCCTCCAGTTTGCTGGTTTGTTGGTTGTTTTTGGTTTATCCAGGAGTCCAGTCGCTTTTGACTGAAGGATCACACTGGTCTGAACCCATTGCAATCTGCTGAATCCAAACATTACTCTGGTTTTGCTCAATGAGGTCAAAAGTTTGATTTGTCACACTTTTTTTTTAAACATTTGTGTACATGTGTGGGTGTCTGTGCTTCGTATCGTACAAAATTCTTTTTCTGTTTCCTGAAATGAACAAATTCTGAAACTTTTACAAGCTGATGCTATAAATATTTGCAGGTGAATTAAATGTAGACAGAACGTTTACTCCCTGGCTGATGAACAACACATTAGAGTCACGTGATTTTATCAGACAGACATGGAGAGCAGGTATGATGGCTGATCACTGCTGGACTCTGAGGAGAGATAAACCTGCTGCTGGTCATTCCAGGAGCTCCAAGAAGTTCAAGTTCAAGCCCTGAATGTTGAGCAATGCTGATGAAACATGCGGTTTATTTGTATTTACCTTTAGAAATGTTTACGCTTTGGATCATTTAGCTTATGCAAAGGATTAGAAAATTAATTTTTTCCTCTAAAATCCGATTTCTTATGAGAAATACTAAAATAAATCATTGATTTAGTGTCAAAATCTATTTTTAAAATCGAACTGGCATAAAAACCTGACCTGATACAGAAGGGAAGATGTCATTTTTGCATTCAGCGCCGCAAAAATGTCCTAAATCATCAATGAAAATATTTTTTTGTAACCCAGTGTGATCATGATCTGGACGGTGGGGCATCTACTCTCATTACATCACCGGTATACGAAGTAATTAATCTTTGCTGCAACTAATGACTGTTTTCGTCGTCGTTTAATCGATCATTTCCGAGATTAATCATCAGAAAATGGTAAAGAGTGTTGACTAGTGTTTCTGAACATGACAACTGTTTCATCCACAACCCAAACATGTTCAGTTTGCCGTCACAGAGGAAAGAAACCAGAAAACATTCTCATTAAAGACGCTGCAATCAGACAATTTACACCTTTTATCATTTCAAAGCCGACCGCTAATCAATGAATCGCTGCAGCTTTGCTCCAGATGAAAGTCAACCACACGTCTGAGTGAAGCTTCTCAGCATCACAGACGTCAGACGTGGCTTAAGATATGACAGAAATTGATTAACCAGCTACCGAAACAGTTGCTAATTGGTTTAATAGTTTAATTGATTAATTGCAGCAGCTCGTCTCCGTCACGTCTCTGGAGCTTAAAGTAGGTTGTTCCAGCCCACATGTGACGAAGTAGAACCAGGTTACTGCTGGAACTGGGTTGAAAAGCAGAATATGTGGAGCAGGTAATTGGTGCCAGTGGTTCATTAACGATGCCGTTCATCATTAATGTGGCCACGAGGAGAGATTTTGTGGTCGAGAAGCGGAGTGACCACGAAGCGCTGCAGCTTCAGGATCAGCTGCTACAATCTGTGTTTGATTTTCAGGTTTTAAACGTGGATGAATCATCACGAGGCAGCAGAGAGGCGTCCTTTAACGAAGCCTTAATTAATGAGCTCTGTGGATGAGGTGTAATCCCGGCGGCGAACACCAGGTGGCGTGAGTTCGCGGCGACGCTGCTGCACCGAGGAAAGCTTGGAGTTTGTGACAGTGATGTTTGATTAGCTGTGGCAGCCCGTGTGTTTGATCAGCCGGGTTTACACGCTGCCTTCTGCAGATTACTGCCTTCTTTATGGATTAGAAGAGACCAACCTTCAGCAGCTCGTGTGTGATTTCTATTTCCTCATGTTCGTCTGGTTTCTTCTGCACATGGAGCCCAAAACAGCATCTCATTGAAGGAATATCGCTGCAAGAACTGCATTTTTTGTTCAATATTCTGTAAATTTTCCTGTTTTTTGTAAAAAGTTGTACGACGCTGTCAATCAATAAATCACAGCTCAGTGCAGTTCAAACAGAACTAATAACAAGATTTAACCAGATAACTCTGGAATGGAGTGAAATAAAGCACAATGCATTAAATATGAGACATAAAATTGACTAAAAAGGTAAATAAAAAAAACAAAAAATTAGACTGAAAATCAAGAAAAAGAGATTTCTTGCGTCAAAACATAGTAAATAAAAAAACTACAGAAAATTGATTAAATAGGGACAAAATAAAATAAAAACCATATCAGAAATAAAGAAAAAAAAAACACTCGTCTCAAAAATATAATGCATTAAAAAAACCCCACATAAAATTGATGAAAAATAATAAAAATCATGTTGAAAATAAAGGGAAAAAAAGATGTCTTGCCTCCAAAACATAATACGTACAAAAAACTACATAAAATGTATTAAAAAGGTAAATAAAATAATAATAATAACCATATTTAAAATTAAGAAAAAAAGATTTCTCGCTTAAAAAACATAATACATTAAAAAAAACGGGATAATAAAAGTTAAACAAAATATTAAAAACCAAACTGAAAATCAGGAAAAAAATATTTCTCACCTCAAAAACACAAACAAATAAAATATATATAAAATCAAATAAAAATGTAAAGAAAATAATAACTATATTGAAAATCAAGAAAGATTTGCTTTATCACCTTAAAAACACTGTATATACATTTGAATAAAAGATAAAAAAAATGATAAAAACCACAATGAAAATCATGAAAAAAAATGATTTCTTGGCCTCAATGAAAAATGATATTAAGAGCATCTAACATTTATTTGAGACTGAAAACAGGTAAAACAGTTTTTAGGGTTGATATGTTTATTTATTTTCTCTCTAAAACATTTCAGGATATTTAACTTGTGATATTTTTTGCAAACAGCTTGTATTGAATAAAAAATATTTGATATTTCTGCTTTAAAATAATATCCTTGGGTCTAACACATCACGTTAAGTTTACATTTAGAATTAATTAATTGTCTGTTGTATGTTATGATAATTACATTTTAGTGGATCAACAGAAAATTTATCACCAAACATTTTAAATCGATTTTATTTGCAGAAACAACTAAATTTCACTCGTTCCAGATACTCAAACATGAATAATTTCAGTTTTCAGTCGCTTTAGCTGCTTAATAATTAATTAATCAAGGCTGTAATTACAAACTAATGCATAAAGAAAACACTTGTTTTTTTAATCCATCTGGTTGTAAAAGGAGCCGAACAAACAAAGGTGGGTGCTGCTCATGGATCCTTCATTAAGGCCGGAGCGGCAGACGTATTATGTCCTGAAAGCTTTTTTATGTTCTGCATTACCTTGTTAAACTAACTGTGTGGATTTTACCCCTGAGACTAAAACTCCGTTGATTAGAACGGATAGCCGCTGAACTGAAAACCCTCCCGCCGTCTGTTTGCCTTTCTTTTCTTCTCTCAGGCAGCTTTTGATAACGGAGAGCAGAAAACACTAAACTCGCTCAGTCATGAGGAGAAACTGCTCCTAAAAAATTGGATATTGATGAAAAAAAACGAGAGGCACCCTTAAAACTAATTTTACGATTTAATGGACTTGATGGATTGTTTTCGCAGAGTCTGAAACAACTGAAGCCTTCACTGCACCACATATTCTACCCTTAACTGGTGATATGAATATATTTCTCACTTTGGATCTCACAGTTATATTAAATCAATATAGTGAATTTGTTCGCCAACAGCTTTCTGATTGGTCGATGCGCCACATCGGGCCTAATTTTTATTGGTTGGACAGTCGGTGGTGTTACTCATGAGGAGAACAGCTCTAAACCAACAGCCATCCAGGGTTCATCCACTACTTTAGGAACAAACATGTTCAGAACCTCCAGTTCTCCCAATGTTGAACTTCCCCAACCCAATGGAGACCCCTTGGTGCCACTAATTTATCGTTTACTTAACGTTGTGGCTGTGTTTTGTTCAGACTGATGCTCAACAACCAACACTACAGATCATCTACAGCAACTAACTTGTCTGTACGACATTCTTCAACAGTTTTTTGAGCATTGGGGGGTTTAGTTGGGAAATGGGCGCCATGACCAAGTCCTCCTGGAGGCTGAATGACCTCCGACCAGCACAAGTGTTCACTCAAGCTCAGATAAACAGTTATCATATATATATCACAGTATATAAAACAGCTGTGGCTTATTTCATGTCCCAGAATGCCAACAAACGCAAATAAATAATCATTTTAGCTTCCTACTGAAAAATAGCAGCCCTGGTTCATGTAGCTCCGTTTCCAGAAGTCCCAGATGAACATGGGCGGGTACCAGCTGGTGTGTTGAGTTGGTTCTAAGTATAATGATGTGGTTCAAATGTTTTATTATTCTGCAAATACTAGCTTTTAATGCTGATTTAGAATCATTTTGAACTAATAATTGTGACCAATCAGTTACCGTAATTTATCAGCGCATCTGAATATAAGCCACACCCACTAAGTTTAAAAAGAAAACCAGTTGTGTACATATACAGGTCGCACTTGTCTATAAGCTGCAGGTGTCCATGTTGTAACATGAGATATTTACACAGAAAGATTTTTTTTAACTTTAATTAAACATGTACCGCTAACGTACACAAATACGTAAATGTTTTTTTTATCTTAATAGTGCCTGTAACATGACTGGTTAAAAAAATAAAACATACAGCACCAGGAAAAGTCACTGATCTTCCTCCTGCACTAAAACCACTAAAGTCGTCTTCTTCAGTGTCGAACAGCCTCAGAATTCCTTCATCACACACTTCCTCAGTCTCTCACAGTGTCACTTTGGTCTCGAGGCAAATTCGTAAAACTTGTAAAAACCCATAAATGAGCCGCATCATTGTTTAAGCCACAGTTTTCAAAGCGTGTGAGAAAAGTAGCCGCTTATAGTCCGGAATTTACGGTACTGGAAGTTACGATTTTTGTCGACCAAGATTCTCTCTAGTTGGCCTCAGCCCTACCTTTTTCCACATCCAGCAGTGACATTATTAGAGATTGAGGTGGTTTTGTTTTAGCTCTGTTTTTGGTCTCCACCACTCAAGCTGCTAAATGTTCACTAGCGGCCTTTTCAGATCTTTTCCTCTCATAAACAGCTAAATAATGATGTTTGAAGTGTTTATAATATCATATTTCTGTGGAAAGCTGCAGGGAGCTCAGGCTAATTGCCTTCCACTAAGCTCAGTTTCCCTGATTGCGACGGAGGTGAAGAGTGCAAAGTTAGCGTGATGCTAAAGCCACGACGGGGAAAACACCAAGTTGACGTCTACCAGAATTCTCCTTCAACATGTAAACACTTCCAAGTGTTATACCCAACAAAGAACATGCTTTGTGGTACATCACCCACACATGGACGTACCTCCTGGTGTGACGGTGCCCACGTCCTGCACCGTCAGCACCGACAGACGCTCCTCGGTGTCCACCCTGACCACTCCATAGCTCAGACCCTGCATGGACAGGACGCCTCGGCCCGGAGGCTGGCTGCTGTCCTCCACCGGCCTGAACGCAAAAAACACATGCACAAATACAGTGAATAGGAAGAGCTGTGGAGACTTACAGCGCCGATAAAAGGAAGTGTTCAGAACCTCTTTCACGATGCTGCCACCGCCATGCCTCACAGTGGGGATGGTGTGTTTGTGCTGAGGTGCACTGTTTGGTGATGTCGAAACTTAGTGTGTAGTCTGATGTCCAAAAAGCTCAGTTTTGGTCTCATTTATAGGGACTACACTGTGTTACATGAATATTAAACAAGTTTTTACAATAAACAAACCACATTCACGGGTTGTGGTTCCTTTGGAATCTTCTCTAATCGGCATAAATATGACCTAAAATATTATCAGAAGACCTAAGAGTAGATAAGGAGAACCTAATAAATCAAATGAGACACAAATATGACCCTTGATCAGTCATTTACTGCAGTGAAAGATTAAAAATTTCATATCTGTGAGTGGCCAGTGTATGTGAACCTTCAGGTGTTTTCAATTATAGTTTTAATTAAACAACTGGGATGTACAATATTTACAACACGTCTGTGGAAACATATCATGACACCAAAACAGGAGATTTCTGAGAACCTCAAAAAGGTAAAAAAACAAAACAAAAAAAACTAGTCCAGCAACTCACAGTCACACTAAATGCCTGGCATGGTGGTGGCAGTATCATGGTTTGGGGCTGTTTTGCTTAATCTGGGCCAGAACAGCTCGCTATCAGTGACGGAACAATGAATTCTGAATAAAATCAACAAATTCTGAAGGAAAATGCCAAAGAGGAATAAAGTAAATATTTGGGAATGAACAAGCCAAAGTCCTGACTTTAATCCAACAGGAAGGTTGTGGAAAGAATGTGAGGAAAACCCACCAACATCCCAGAGATGAAGCTGTTCTGTTTGGAGGAACAGACTAAAACTCCTTCGAGCCAGTATGCAATTTGTCACATCAGATACTGACAGCAAATGTTCACACACGTAATATTGAGTTTTCTACTGTTAGGACTGTTTTAGGTCACATTTGTGGGGAAACATAGAAAAGTCAAACTTTAAAACACCCTGTATGTGTGAGGGTTTTTGTCGGTAAACATGTGTGTCACTGTTTGGACTCCACCACCCCCAGTCACACAAAACCACTGGCATGGTGGGGGCATTATCATGGTTTGGGGTCATCACTGATGCAACAATGAATTCTGATGTGTACTGACCAATCTTACAGGGAAAAGTCAGGTTAAAGAAGATGTGCCAGGTTTGTCTGTTTCTATGAATCAGTTGTTGCGTATCTGTAGCTGTTTGTCACCAAATGTAAAGCTCTAGTGAGGTTAATGACTCTGCACTGCTGAGATCTGCCTTTAAACCGTCTCTATTGTTTTCTAACATTTATCGTTTTAATACCCTTGCTGGAAGGAGGATGTGATCGCTGGAGCGTCCAGGTTTGTTGCTGCGTCAGCACCAAACATTAAACTCTGACAAAACACTGGATCTACAACATGAACTGCAGCTTTCTGTGTGCTGCAAAGGGATGCGATGGTGTGTTTACAGTGTGTACTCTCTGTGGACGTGTTTGCATCGGTGTGTAAGAGGCCCTTTGCATGTTTGCGCTCATGTCTACGTGTGCACATGTTTGCATAATCCCTGTATGTAAAGCGGTGCTGTGTGTTAGTGTGTCTGTGGGTGAGTTGTGTACCTCCTGATGGCCACCGTCAGGGCCTCGGGGGAGCTGGCGCAGGGACAGATGACATCGGCTCTCAGCCCTTTGGTCTGAAAGACGTTGAGGAAGGCGTCGCAGGAGGAGATGGACCCTAACGGACAGGAATAGCAAGCGACTGTCACACCAGGTGTGGAGCTGCTTTCACACAGAAACCAAACAGCCATTATGCAGCTTCCTAAAAAGCAGCGTTCAATCAATTATCCTGCATCTCTGAATGCGATTAAAAAACACTCAGAGGATCATTTTGTATTGATGGTTTCGAATGTTTTAGCCCAAATAATTGGATTTACGGTAACCTTTTAATGGCGGATTTCCTTCTTTCAGGGAACTCGATTCTTTCTATTTCATTAGTCCAGGTAATCCACTTCAGCTGGCAACTTGCTATTTTTACGTTTTCCGTCGAGGTTAGAACATTGCAGCTCGGTCTTAAGCAGGAACCGTTTACAATCTATTTACGGCGCACGAGAGCAGCGAGTGCACCTCAACGAAATATCACTTTAAATGTCAAATGATTCAAAAATGAATCACGGCGGAATAATAAATGTATTATTTCTAAGTTGAACAGTCGAGTATTTACTAATATGACCAACAAAAAAACAAAGTAAGACTATATTGAAAATTCAGGCCCCAAAGTAGAAACTCAAAGAAACGAAAGTAAACACACCGGTGGTCACACAAAATCGAGTTCACCTGTGTTTACAACCAGCGAAACTGAATGAATGAGGGTCTATGACGGGCTGGTAATGGATGTTTTAGGACCTATGTGCTGCGTCTATGTCTGCATCATGGCTCCACATGGAAGATAACTGCCAAAGGAACTGAAAAATCTGATTGTCAGACTGAAGAAAAATGGAAAATGATACAGGAAGATCAACTAAAAACCAGCTGCAGCAGTAACCAGGAGGTATCGTAGCACCAATCAGAGCTGCAGTGGTCGTGTTACTGAAATCGTTCCACAGACAGTGAACTTCTATCGTCATCTATCTGTGAGAACCAGACGGCAGCTGCTTCAGACTCGGCCCAGGGGTTATCAATGGAAATCAGAGTTTGTGCGAAGCTCAGACAGTGTGAAGGACACTTCAGAGCATCGACCTCTATGGACGGCATCCAAGAAAAAGTAAACTCCAACTCGCCCTCCGGCACAAAACTGCAAGATGAAGGACGTGAACAGAAGCCTGATGAATGCTGGGAGCACATTAGATAAACTTGTTCAGCTAAGACGGCGTCCGGCATGTTTGGTGTGACGCGTAGTCCTGACAGTGAAGAACGGTTTGATGTGGAGCTGCATGAGTCTAAAAGCTGCTGGAGAGGTGACATTTACAATGTCTGTGGATCAACCAGAACACTGGCTGACAAGATGACTCCCAGTCTGCAGAAACCGGAAGAAGACGAAAACTAAAGAAGAACAAAACGACGTGGACGAGTGTGTCACCTGAGTTAGATCCAATACAACAACTTTGGGTCATTTAAAGGCTTAGAGCAACACGAGCCCTCCAGCAAAGATCAGCTGGAAGAATGAGTCTGAAGAACGGCAGAACATCTCAACAGACATTAAAATACCAAGAAGGACTGAGTCTGACATTAAAAATAAGGCAGTTGTACAAAATAAAAGACTTTAATCTCAGTCATGAAAGGTGTCTGTTTGGTGTAGAGTTTCTACTGATACAGTAAATACAAAATGATCAACTTAGAAGTAATGCAGGTCGTATAAGGTGGTAGTTCTGCTGTATACACTAAGAATGCTTCAACATTAAGGATAGAAGGACTAAGTTTCTGTTGTAGACTTTAGGGATGCTCACATTGTCAGAAAGACAAACCAACGTACGTTCATGTTGCACTATTGCTACCACACATTTAACACCTTTTTGTATTCTGAGATCTCCTTCAAAGTGTTCTACTCTCTAAAAACTGCCTTTGATCCGTCTTTTTTTTTTTTTTTTGCAGTGTAGCTGCTCAGTCTTTGACGCTGCGGCTCACTTGAAGGCACCAGCAGCTGACAGCACCAGCTCAGAATGGCCTCGCCACGTGACCGTGACTCAACGGTATGTCACAACGCCGACATCAGGCAAGTTTCGAGTCGCTGCAGCAGGTCGGTGCAGGAGGAAGCAAACAGCATGAAGCTAATGAGCTAAAACACGCAGACCGCCGGCTCCTGGTTTTCTTAAAGCCGCGTTTCCACTCCAGTTAAAACCATTTGTTGTGCCAAATGTGCGGACACTCCCGCTCTATTCCTGTAGGGTGACCCAGTTTCCCGAGATCCCAAGAGAGTTTATCCATTTCCCTGACATTCTCTATCTCAAATACACCTCGCTTAGACTCCCCCGTCGGCGAGGGAGCGGAGGCGGAGTTGGACCTTACAGGGGTTTGATCCGTCGGCCACCAGCAGCATGCGCAGCGAGCTCAGGTTGATGTCCTTCTGGTCTTTGTGGGCCACCAGAGCCCAGTGCATGTCTCTGGACTTCACACAGGCCACCTTGGCTGCGGGCGGAAAGAGAAGAGAAAAGAATTAGCATTTAATCTATTTGACGGGCAGGTGAATGGAGCGAAGTGACGGAGCTGAGTGGCGGCTGGAGTGGGAGGCCGACCTTTGTACTGGCAGACTTTCTGGATCCACGACAGCGGGTTGACCTTCATCAGCGAGTAGGGAACGCTGATCACGTGCATCATGTTCATCACACTCTGCACGAGGAGAAGACGACATTTAAAGCTCAAGGGGGATATTTCACATAAGTCAAGTAATTACTTCAAGTTGTCTGCAGGTTTCTGACTGTATTTGAGTCCATTTTTTTGGGACATTATTGTAATTTAACCTTCAGAACTCAAAAACCTCAAATTTGATAAGCTTGTTAGCTCTTAAAACAAATCACCCAAATTAACACCATTAACAGAAGTTAGAAACAGTAAAGCCAGAGATAGTCGTCAGATCTTCAACTTTCCAGAAAATGGCACATGTTCCACCTTCATTGGGAAAAAAAACATCCTGTAAAAAAAAAAACCCCATCTAATTTTTGTGTAGAAATCGTATAATTAATTAATTTCTAGCATGTTTCTTACTGCTTGTGCCCATTTCATGCAGTTATTTGATGTAATTTTAAAAACTGAACCTTTGTCTAACCCTGTGAAGTCTAAAATCTGCTGTTTAAGCTGAAAAAAAACTAATAAACACAAAACAAATGCTATTTAGAAAGTATAAAAACAGACCAATCCAAAGGTTCTTGAACTAACCATGTTTGACGTGCACCTCTTTCGAAATATTAACAAAACTTATGGTTAAAATCATCATATTTCATTAAAAAAAACATATTTATTCTACATGTGTCATTTAAAAATTGGCCAAAAATAAACCATTTCAACTAAACAGATTCTGTGAAACACTAAAGTCTGCCCTCCTCATGAGTGGTTCAGCTGTGACTAAATCGCAAAAATATGTGTAACCAGTCATCGGTAGTGTCGATCATGCAGGATGCCAGTGTGCTTTGAACTCATTTAGTGAAATCAGCTCTTAAAGATTCAGGCAACTGTGCAACTGACTCCAAGCAAAGAGAGCAGGAACAGTTCCAGAGAGCAAAGACAGCAGCTTCCTGTGCTTTTTGATGGATTTAGATCTGAAGATACGAAGGAAACAGGCCAAGAACAAGCACGTAATTAGGAAACCTGAGTCTATAATGCATGATGGTGAGTGTAAGATGTAGAGATTTGTTATAAAGTGAATGTTAGGTTCTGGATTCTGGTCCTGATCCTACCGTCAGGATGCCGTGCCACAGCCCGACGTCCTTCTTGAAGTCCAAGACGTTCACGATGGTCTCAGCTGCATCCAGACAGGGAAGAAAAACACCGGTTAAATAATTCAGCCGTGACCTACAGACGGAGCCGTGTGAGGTTTTCGCGCCGCCGTACCTTCGGTGTAGCTGCAGGACTGGGTGAGCGCCTGGCAGTGGGTGAGCAGAGCGATCCTGGTCACGGTGACGCCCAGAACGCTGCCGTCCTTACAGGTCTTATACTGGAGGAGAAACAGCACACGGTCACGTTATAAATAAAACAACCATATTCTGACTTTAATTAGGAGGATAGATGTTTGGAGGCTCTCAGACAAGAGAGATTGTTTTTCTTAATGTCTCTAATGAAGTTTGCTGTACGCTGCCATATTTGACATTTATTTTGATTGTATCTGACTATATTTGTGTCCATTTTAGATTTTTAAATAGTAATTTAAAAAAAAAAAAAGTAAAGTTTGCCTTCAAACTATTAGGTAAAGCCCAGATGATGATGTCATGGTTTTGGAAGCTTCTGATTGGTTAATTGACAACATGTGAGTTAATTAGTTGGATAAATATTGTTAGATTGGACATCAGCAAACATCCAATATGGTGCATCTCCAGACTGAACAAAATATATGAAACGTGTCCTAAATTAAATCTCTAGCAGTGTTTGTGTGCAGCAGCTAGTTAGCCTGTTAGCCTGCTAGCCTGTTAGCCTGTTAGCCTGCTAGCTCACCTCTATGTAAGCCGTGTCGTTGTTGGCGTCCTTGATGTGAGGGAACCAGTCTCTGGGCGGTTTGGAAAGATGCTTCGACTCGGTCACAAACCACAGCAGCTTGGGCCAACCTGCAGTTAGAGACGGCGGCGGCGTTAAAAGGGCGTCGAAGCAACAACACGACGTGAATAATTGAAGGAGCTGTTTAACATTTCAGAAGACGGAGCAACGGCGGAGACGAATCAGGATTCTCTTTCATTCGTGTGTTTTATTTTTATAAACAAACAACTGATCAAGTTCCTTCAATTCCCAGATTATGAATAATAGCTGAAATGAAAGAGTCAAACACAAAACAAGGATTCCAGCTTCACGGACTAAATTATTTTTTAACCTGCTGGTTGGATTTGAAAGGCAAAAAAAAGCCAAAATGACACCAATTATCAGAAACAATAAGAAGCTAGAAAGAACTGTCGTATTATCAGGACCGTTTTTGAACAAACTGTGTGACAAAATAAACCAAATCTAAGCGTCAAATCGTTCAAAATAACTTTGTGCTACGGTTTATTGAAATATTTGGCCCAGATTTTGGAGACAACATGAAATTCTGCCGTCCTCTCTGCAACCATGAAGCCACGACGGACTCAACTGTGACCAACAATCATGTGATGGGAATATCTGTGAATCTGGCTGAATTTGTGTAACTTCTAACAGTCAAAAATGGCTTTTATGTCTAAACAACACATCAAAATCCAAAGAAAATCAGTTAAATGTGATTTAAAACAGCAAGAATTAGCCATAAAGATGCGAAACATGCAACTTTCAATGGTAAGAAATGGCCTTTTTAATGTTTCGTCCTGTCCTATCAGTAGCTCCAAACACATATTAAGTTAATATTTGGCTGAACTGCAGCCAGTGTTTCCTCAAAACACTGAAGACATATGTATGGAAACCAGTTAGAGAGACTGACAGGAAAATAAACTCCACTGGGTCAATCAAATAAATGTGGCACGGCTCAGAAACAGTGAACAGAGGAGCAAGTGGTTGGAGGACACATCCAGCATGGTGGAACATCTGTCTACGGATCATGTGCAGAGTAAAGGTGAAAAACTAGTTTGTAGAGGTTGTAAAAATGGAAATAGGTAATTATCAATGTGTGCACTTGGGGAAATGATGTACATGTTGATTACAACTTTTGTTTTTGTTTCTCCATATCATGATTTATAGCATTTTAGCTGAGTCATATTTCAGATTATCAACATTAATGAATGTTTGATGTGGGGTTCCTTCAGAAAAATAAACTAAATCTAAGCTCAAAATCGTGATATTTTTCTTAAAAATCACTTTATTCTACATGTCGTGTTTAAAAATTGTCCAAAAATACACAATTTGCACTCAACAAATCCTTCAAAAACTAAAACTTCACTGCTCCTCAACACGACCGAGCTGTGACCAACAGTCGTATGACAAAAACTCACACTGAAGCAATTAAAATCAACGAGGCATGGCTCACAAACGGTGAACAGAGGAGCACGTTGTTGTTGAAACATCTGTGCAGAGGTGATGTGCAGAGTACAGTGAACACATCACTAGTAAAATAGTGCCAGATATCTGTCGTATGTGGAGCCAACAGTTTGCATTATCAGTGACACCTGTGGACAAATGTTGTGCTTTTGCAAAACAAATGATCTGATTTCTAACTTTTTCATTCTGCACAATCGACATCTCCCTCCTCCTTCGTGGTCGTGCTGTTTCCATAGAGATACAGGACTTGAACAATTAGGAGGAAAACTGCGACAGGAGTAAATAAAACCCTGAGAAGCTGCCTGTCAATTCATCTATTTACATCTGTGGATTCATTGATTTATTGATTCATTGATCTTGTTTAATGGTGTTTTGAAGGAGCCTTTAGCTGCTCAAATTCTGCTTCAAATCTTAAAATAAGCAAACTGAAGACCCCCCTGAGAGACACAGTGAATCATAATCATACTAATAATAAAGCAGCCCTGGTTAATGTATTCACTCTGGATTGAAGCCCTTTATGTGGAGACCCTCCCCCACGTCAGGCCTTTACCATCCAGCTGTGATTGATGATGTTCGCTCTCACCTTTGAACTGAGGGATCTCTCCTGTTGCGCTCTTGGGGAGGCCCTTGTGGCAGGCATCGCTGGTCAGCGCCACGGTAACGCCGCAGCTGCCCAATAGGAATCCGATCTGCTGGCTGCCGGCATCCTGTTGGACGAAGCGGAAAGTAGGGAGAAACAAACTAAATCTAACCTTTACAGATTAACAAATCCATTTAAATGCAAACTCAGAGGTGATTCGACCGTGGTGTTTACTGGATGTGGTGGCGTGTGCGTGCAGAACGGCGTGCAGCGCGGCGAGGTGACGCCTGCTGCACTGCTGCTGCTGCTTCACCAGCTCAAACTGAAATTTTATGGAAAATCCTGCAGCACAGATGCAGAACTGAAGGGGGAAGGGGTTCACGAGAGGCTACCGACGTGCAGCAAAAAGGCATTTTCTGCTGCAGCAAGTAATCACCGTGTAACCATGCCAACGCTGCTGCTGCTGCTGCAAAGAGGCTCCACTCACTGAAACAATACAAACACAACTAAATTAAGCAGAAGGTGCTTTTCTTGCAGCAGCAGCAGCTTTTTTTTTTTTTTTTTGTCAGATTCCAGCCTTCAGAAATGTCACAGATCAACAGCCGAACTGATGACAGTATTTTTCCTGTGATGGCAGGGCAGCAGGAGGCTTCGCTTCTCGCGTGTCAGACGTGTTTTTTCTGCTCAGACAGGATTATTTTCTCAGAAATACTTGTTGCTAGCAAACAGCTGAGACCGAAGATCCAAAACATCTCTCTTTTTTTTCCCCTCCCCTCCCCAGCCGTCTGCAGTCTCACAGTAACAGGACTGAAATGAAACCCAGCAGGAGTTCGGAGCTGCTGGGCACGAGGTGAAAAACAGATGTGGCCGAACCGCAGAGGATTAACATTACACAGCAGCGCGTCGAAAAATTAAATCACCTGACCTCCCACCGAGGAGCTAATCCTGTGGAACACGGCCTCAGTGTCAAATTTAAAGCTAATGCAAAAGGATTGGAGGGCTGCAGCGATGGATAAAGATCAGACACAGCCAGCGTTTGGGTTGTGGTGCGACTCTTGAAACGTGTTTTTTTCACCTTGCGGCTCAGCGGCACCTCGATGGGAACCGGGACCACCTCGGCCAGCAGACAGCCGTAGAAGGCCACCATGAAGGCCACCGGGTCGTTGTTGGGGAACACCAGCGCCACCTGGAGGACGGAGAGACGACGGAAGAGTCAGCGATGATGGGAACCAGAATCAGCAGCGTAAAAAAAGAGCAAAAAAAAACACCAGTTCTGATGAAGCTCCTGCAGTGTTAGGGTTCATGGTCAATGTTTTCTCATTCACCCATTCATACACCAATGGTGACAGAGCTGCCATGCAAGGAGCTGCCTGCCATTGGGAGCAACTTCAGGTTCAGTGTCTTGCCCAAGGACACTTCCACTGTGGAGGGGCGGGGATCAAACCACCAGCCTTGTGGCTCCACCACCTGAGCCACAGCCGCCCCCTAAGTATCTCCATGCTGCACACATTGTGCTCGAACATCGGTGAAGATGTGTTAAACGGGGAGTCTCCACCAGGAAACACTTCTTGCATCTTAGTGAATTTTTATGCACCGATTTGTGGCCTTTCTGCATCAGTCTTCAGCAAAATTCAGACAGTAGGTGACAATCCATAAAAAACTGGAACATAAAGCAGGAAGGCTCTCAGGCATTATATTTACTCTGCTGGTAACACCATCACAGCTGCTTCAACGTACACATTGAAGATCTCCTTTTCTGGCCTTTACTGCGTCTTTTGTTTGCTAAAATAAATCTTGTGCTTGAATTTTGTGTTTTCTTTTTACATGTATAAAAACATTTCCGCCTTAAATTGATGCAGAAAAAAGGCACAAGTTGGTGCATTAGGATCCAAAACCGACACCCGATGCAGTTTTTCTAGATAGTACACATTGGAAGTGTTGCAGAGTTGCTGTAGTACCTGATAATGCTGGCAGGCAGAGAGCATTGTGGGGGTTTAGTGAGTAAAGGGGCAACATGACCAAGTCGTCTGTGGCGCTGAATGACTTCCAGCAGCGCAAATGTTTAGAATCAAGCTCGGATCAAATTAAGAAGCATTTTATATCTTAGTTAGATTAAAAACAGCCACGTTTGCAGCCTGTATCGTCTGTCTGTGGCTCAAAACAGCAAAATCAACACAATAAGAACGTCCAACGTGTCTAAGATACAAGCAAGGGATGAGGTTTGTTTCGATACCAATCTTGTTGATCAAGACATAACAAGAATCAATCCTATCGCTAAAATAATCCTTTATTAATTACATTTTCACAACACAAGCTCTAATTTATTTTGACATAAATCCTTTTGCCAAACACAAAAAAAAGGCATAATATTTCATCATCATGTGTGACATTACTTATTACCTCTGGATCACTGCTAGCATCACTTTTTACTACTCTAGTCTTACTATTTTATTTTCAGTCACGTATCGTACTTATGTCTTATTGCTTTTCATGAGGCACTGCATTTATGGTCATATCATTTCAATTAGTCTTTTCTGAGCAACATCCAAGCAATCATCACACTTATATCTCGTTTTTAAACCTCTGCAAACAACACATTTAAAAAATTTCTGTGCATTTTGGTGCAGATTTGTTTCAGCAACAACAGAATTAAGTTAGCAGAAGATTTGATATCGATGTTGCTGCATTTATTAAGATTAAATCTGTGACACCTGAGTGACAAAAAAATGATAATATCACCTTAATTCTTTAAATCACAACATATGCTCAAGTTTATAAATCACTTTGTCAAATGTAAAAAAGAAGAAATGAGCTGCTGAGCACGGCTTTTAAAACCTTCACAAAGTTAAACACACGGAGGCGCCGGGGATGGAACCGGCGACCTCACGATTAGTGGAGCTGCAGTCACAGCAGATTATCAGGTCGAACAAATCAGTCTAATCATCAAAAACAAGTCGCCCAAACGAACCTGAAACGGGCACAAAGATGAAAAAGCGTGAAACAACAGCGCGGCGGCGGCGGATTAGCGTGACTCACCCGGTCTCCCGGTCGCACCATCGGCTCCTGCTTGCTGCCCAGTTTGTGGAGGATGTTGTAGGCAAGCTTGATGCTGCGAGACCACAGCTTCCCTGCAGGGATCAGGACACAGGAAACGAAGGTGTGAGAGAGGCACGCTGAGGACGCCACACACTTCTATTTTGAGGACGTGGTGTCGATAAAGGGAGGAAAGGAAGCGTCTGAAGGGACGACATTTAAGAGTTTTCAGCAGTCAGGAGGGAAACTATCTGGAGGACGGACGGATTAGACTTAAAAGCAGAAGCAGGCGTCGTCTAATGCACAGGTGTTCAGGGAGACGGAGGGAGGAGGAGGAGGAGGATGTACATTCCTGCACTTATAAAAACATGATGTACAGACTCAGGATTCATACAAACCCTGTTAACATTAACCTCCTGGTTTTAACTGAACACACACCAGGTACACGTTTAATAGAGACTAAAACACATCACTGGGAAGCAAACAGCAGAACAAATACCATTCTTCTCTAATCTTAGCCTGTTTTTTTAATTATGTAACAACAAAATAGTCACAGCAGCTTCTTTTAACGGACTTTTCTGTCTGAACACACAAAAAAATGAAGCTGATGTAGGAAAACGTGATCTGTGTTCCATCCACGTTCGGTCTGATGATGGGAAATTCTTAAAACTCACAGTCACGTGTCTCTTTATAGGCGTTAACCTCGTGGTTTATACTGAATGTACACCAGGGCTGGATGAAGTGGGACAGAACTAATCATGTTTTAGAATTTTAGCGTGTTTTTTATTTAGATGAAGCTCTTTTGAAGCCGAGTTTTCACTTAAAAAACCCAGAACTTTTAGCAGAGAGGAGGCTTTTAGTAAGGAATCAAATCAAATCAAATAATATAAAACACATTTCAAAAAAGCCTGAGTTGCTTTCAACAGATGACCAAAAGTTAGAAAATCACTAACAGATATTTATGGAAACACGTGTAAAAATGACCCACGTGTTTAAAGACAGTCATCTTCTAAATGGATTTCTGTATTTGGACGGAGAAAAGTTGACTTTAGGATACGACTCCGGGACTTAAAGGTGTAAAAGAGATTTTTAAAAACCACAATTTTTTAAATGGAGTTCTGTACTGAAGGCAGAAACGTTTCCCTCCTGCTGAAAAAATAGCATTTTGTCAAACCTGACTTGGCATGAACAGACAAATTAAATAAACCCGCTGGGAACTGAAGTTGTAAAATGATCAAAATGTTTTAAAATCCACACTTTTTAAACTGGGAAACGATGTAAAATGACCTCCATGATTAAAAACGATGATTTTTTCAATGGACTTTTGTATCAGATACAGAAGAGTTTAAAGTTTATTTGCTGTAAGATTTTAAATCAGAGGAAAAAAACAACAATTTCTTGCCACAAAATGATCAAACGTAAAGACAGTGAATGTGTTTTTGCAAAATCTTCAGCTGCAGCGTGAAAAAAGTTTTATTTTCTGGCACAATAGTTTTTTTTTTTTAGATAGCTGAAGTGTCTTTTTGTTTGACTTGAAAACTGCATCTCAGTGATGTCAAAATACATTTTCCTAGTTTATTGCAAAATTGGTGTCATATTGTGCCATCCTTAGGCTGTAAACGTATAAATCGGGGGACATTGAACTTTAAACTATTACCTTCAGGTTCAGGCAGTTTGATCCAAGAAACAGAAACCTTGTGAACACATTTGAATGAGTGCACAGTGAATAATAATGCATCTATGGTATAGCATATATAGTAAACACCGAGCGTCTGGTACCGTATGTGAGCACGTAGAGGGGCTTCCCGGCCGTGTCCAGGCTGGTGAGGCAGGGGGCTTTAGGGGAGATGGTGCCCCAGCGCTGGAGCGCCGCCTCCAGGGACGGAGGCCAGTTGGTGACGACCCCCAGAGCCTCCCCTCGGACCGGCATCATCTCGGCCCCCTCCGGTCGGGGCTGGTTGGGGTCCGGCTGCTGGACTGGAGACGATAAAACCATCACAGACCTCAATGTTTGTTTGCAGGCGTGAAAACAGCACATTTAACTCATTAATTCATTAGATGAAGCTGTGAGGAGGCTGCAGAGCGAACGGCTGGTGTCTGGTTCAGACGCGGTGAGAGGATTTAACAGGATTCAACTTTAAGCTACTGTCATAAAAAATGGATCCAGAGTGAAGGTCTTAAACCACGACGTCGACTCTGAGCTCAGCATCATCCTCCGCCACCAGATATTTACAGCACGTTGTAAAACACCTCCACAATACGACAGAAAACTGCTCAAATAAGAGTGTTTTCCCCTAAAATCTGAACTCGCCCACGTGGTGAAAGCTGCACCAACACCCAGAACGATGTGCAAATATCTCGACTGCTGCAGTTTATTTACTCTAAAAGCGTAACCTTTGGATGATATTTGAGCTCCATGTGGATCCACCCAGTTACCGCGACGACTTCACCACGACGATGACGAAGCTTTTTACCGTCTGTCTGCACAGTTTTCAGTTAAAACAACATCTGCACACGTTTCAAGGCTTCTCAGAGCAGTGGAGGAGCTTTTCAGAGGCCTTTAATACTCTGAACGTCCCAAAAACCTGCCACTGGGTTTGAAATTCATGTTATACATTTAAGTATATTTTAAAAAATCACCACAATGACACCATGTATCTGAGCCAGAATTTGCAAAAACTGAAAAATTTATCAGATTTTTATTGTTCTAACGGCCGGTGAGCACATCATGTGGGAGGCACGGGTCCATCAGGAAAATTAATCATGTCTCATTTATAGGTTCTGCAAAAATAAACCAGATTCTGTAAGAAAACAAAGAAATTCTGCAACCGAGAATCCATAAATAATAATGAAATGCTGGCAGCTGTGGTCACCACACTGTAATTTACTTAAACAGTTTTTAATTGATTATAGAAAGTAGAATATAAAGTATATTGTTTAATACTGTGACTAGACTTCTCAATAATAAACTGTGTTGCCGCTGAAATCAACATGAGCTGTGGTTTTATCTCGTTTTTGTCGTGTTGTCGCTCTTTTTTTTGTGTCTCTGCTTTTCTTTCACATCTTTTTGTGACAGTTTCGTCTCCTTTCTGCCATTTTTTGTCCTTTTTCTCATTATATTTGTCTCCTTTTTGTCCCATTTTTCTCTTTGCATGTCATTTGTCTTGTTTTTTTTCCTCCTATTTTTCTTTTCTATCTCGTTTCTGTCCTTCTGTGTGTTATTCCTGTTGCTTTGTGTCTGATTTTTTTTGTTCAGTTGTTACGGCAGCCTGCTGTTCAAAGTCGTTCTTGGCTCCGAAAGAAAAAAAAAGCACCAGATTTTACAGTTTTTAAGTGTAATTTGGAGGAAGAAGCGCACCAATCAAACAAACCCTCAAATTTCATTGTGCAAATATACGCTGCAAGCAGGTCGACGGGCAATTTAAAACAAAACACAAAAACAGGAAATGATTTGATATATGAAGCTAAAATTTCACGCATCCAGCTAGAAAAAGTGTGTTGCTGTGTTTTTACAGAGCAAATAAAAACTATTCTGCTTGAATAAATGAAACCCGACATAATAAAACTGATTTAATTCCCGTCACTTCCTTTGGCACTGATTTAAACCTCTTGGACACCAGAACCCTGCACATGCTGCTCCTACGTTTTCACCACAGACGCTGTTCATGAAGCACCTTATTTATTACTTCTGATGATGCAGAATGACAGAATGACGTGCGGACATGAGGACGGTTTCTAACCTTCCAGAAGCTCATCGAAGTCGTCGACGAAGAACTCCCGCAGCGGAGGTCTGCGCGGCTGCTTCAGCGTGTTCACGAGCTGCTGGATCTTGGCCGACACACGGCTGCTGACCGGAACTCCTGCAGGAGGAAAGAGGCCAGAGAGTCCTGATGAGCTGACCGACGGCAGTCCTGACAGGTTTAGCGGCGACCGAGACCGGATCGCTGCAGGGAGTCAGGAGGTCGTGCTCATGTTGATCTCACGGTCACGTCCAGCAGTAACTGAGTCGGGAGACCATGTGACGTCAACACCTGGACCTCTGTTACATGTTTCTGTGGCCACATGCAGGTCTCCATGTAGGACGTCTGCATTGAGGAGAGTCTGCAGCCACCACCAGGAGAAGAAACAGCAGTTTTCTTCAACATTCACCAGGGTTGGACCGTCCCTGGAGAGTTTTACTGTAACGTCCTGAAGTGTCTGAACATTCGACAAATGACCTGAAGCCGACATCACAAAGACTTAACCAGTATTTAATGGGTCATATCTGATGTATCTGACATGTTTTTTAAATCATAAACTGGACATACTTAGTGGTACCTATGAGTGCTTTTTGACATAAATATCATTTAAT